AATTTAAGGATGAATTAGGTGGGAATGTTATAATTCATTCATCGGCCTCAGACCAAAGATGTATTCATTTACTTTTGGAAGGAAGACTTGCATGAAGTGGATGGGGAGATGGTACCTGCAATCAGACAGGAGGAAAAACAAAAAGCTAAAGGGGTGACCAGAGCGGTCATCAAGAAGCAATTGAGACATGCTCAATATAAAGAGTGTTTAACCACACATACCCAGCTCCGTCATGTCATGAGACTAATTCAAAGTGAAAAACATCAGGTTTTACAGTCAGGAAAAACAAAATTAGCTTGAGCCCCTATGATGATAAGCGTTTTGTGCTGGAAGATGGTATTCATACTCTAGCACATGGCCACTACAAAATTGCAGAGAATTAGCATGTGAGAAACCATTTCATTTGCGATACTGTGTTTGTAAATATCTGCATATTAACAGTGTAATGTGTGTGTGTGCTGATCCAGTGCATTAATATCATTGAGATCATTTATTATCTAAATATATTTGACCCAAATGTATTGTATATAGTGTGATCATGTTCTAAAATCAAAGAGAGTTGTTATAATCTGACCCAAATATGTTTTATGTTTTGTGATCATGTCCTAATATGAAAAATGAGCTTTTGTTATCTAAATAATTTGACTTAAATATGTTTTATATATAATAATCATGTTCTAATATCAATGATTTGTCAATGGCATTTGTTATCAACATTATAATCATATTCCATGTCTGAAAAATATGCAATGAATAAAATGTAATGGATTCTTATTGTATTCTTATTTATTGTATTTGATGGCCTTTATTATGATTCTATTATGAGTGTAAATGATATGATATTCCGATTATGAAACACAAATAAGTGTGTAAACTTATTGGGATTCACAGGTAAATCAGCTCATCAAATACTGTACTCAATGTTTTATATGACAATGTACCATAAACAAAACAAACAACACAACAACAAATATAAGGAAAAATGTGCATATCACACTTGTTTATTATTTCTCTACATGGAGAGATTTTCAGACAATGTGTAACAGGATATTCATACAATACATGTAAGTTTTAGAAATATTTAAGACAAGACAATTGTGAAATATATAGAGAATCTATTACATAATCGTCGAACATGAGTATATAATAACAAATTAAATGTCTTTGTCTGAGTCATCTTCCTCTTCATTTTCTAAGGTAGTCATGTGTTCTAGATCCTCAGCGTCTGTGACATCAATCCGAGATAAGATATCCTTGGCCAGAGGTTTTATCAATGTTTAACTTTAGCTAGCATATCAGGTAGATCTGTATTGGGGTCCAAGGTATTGGCTCTCTCAAAATGGGTTTAAAAGTGGCCCATTTTCAAAATAGCTACGATATCCAACGACTTTATATACTCTGTCTAAAAGCATCTTCCCAGCACTTTTTCATCGTCTTCTCAATCCACCATTCCTTCGTCCTCTGTTTTCATTACTCCTCCTTCTTAGCCAAAAGTTCTTTTCTGCAATGTTTAAGAGCACCCTCCCATAGTACTTGAAGGCCTTTAGTCTCCCTCTCTTTGTCTCTGTCCTTTGAATTGTTTTTGTGGGTAAGTGATCCTGCTTAGATAACTCAGCATCAGCAACTTCACTTCGGAAACGTTTTTCGAAATGGTTCCGTCCGTTTTCTGGGCACCAGGTTCTTACATGTCTTTGAAGGTCATGATTATTTTCAAACACAATTCCACATTCGTCACAGGAGGGCATGATGATATCTTCACTTTCTTCGTCAGTATTTTGCCACTGGTTGATTCCTCCAGGAAGCAGGTTTGTGGCGATGCCAGCTAGTGACTTTTCACTATGAGATGACTGCTCGCTGGAGATGTGTACTGGTTGGCTGATGTTTATAGAATGATCAAGTTCATGTGATGGTTTCCATTTTATAGCCAAAGCCTCTTTCAGCACATTAGGTTTCATCCTTTCACTATCTGAAGTTGTTGGCTTGAGGTCTATGGTTAAATTTCCATAGGAATCTTGAACAGCACTTCTATAGACTGACATAAAGTTATCCAGAATTGCTCGGATAGATTCGTCTTACAAACATCTGAACTTGATGCCGGTCCACAGGTGAGTTGAACAAGGTCACATAATGAGCACTTAGGGCAATGTCACGTGATTCCCTCCCGCGTGGAAAAAGGTTCTGTAGGAGGAGAAAGATCAGCACGTTCTTATGATGAGAAGTCCGAGTAAACAGCTGTGAGATACGCTTGTCATTCTTCGCTTCTACCATGTGGTCATCCAGTATAAGGACATTGTTATTGCAGGCATTGAAATAGTTATCCTCCTGTATATTGTAGGGAATTCCCTTCACAAACTGTACATGGGGCAATTTGTGATGTATTTCCTCATACAGAGGGGCTGCCATTCATTGTAGCACCATATAATGTGGTTAGGGTTTAGGCTGTATGCGCTGTTGTATGAGTACTTGATATACAAACATGCTCTTTCCTGATCCGCTCGGCCCCACAATTACTGAATTGGATGGTAGGTGAAAGAAAAATGGTTCCTTAGTCCTATGATTTCTTCTAGGAGGAAGGAGATTCTGAAAGGAGGTAGATTCTGAGGGAGGAGGACGTAGATGAGGTAGATTCTGGGGAGGAGGAGGAGGAGGAGGAACTAGATTCTGAGGAGGAGGAGACTCAGTCTGATGCATGATTTTCCTGTGTCTCAACATATTGTCTTCTCTAGTGAACGTTTTACCACATTCCAAGCACGATGTCAACCCCATGATGAGTGCAACTCAAATGATCCTTGTCATGTCAATTTCTGCTTTTTATACATTCTCTAGATTTACTTCTGGAATCCAACTGTTGAATTTCTTCGGGTATCCCATCCACTTGACAAAGACTTCTCTCTGTCCACCTCTGTTTCTCTTCCGAGTACTCTTTCTACACGCCACAGATGATCCTCTGCTTTATAAGCTCTGGACAATTCATTCTCATAGAATGTCCTTTTATGTGATCATCTGCCATATCTTTCAGTTGATACACAGGTATTCCATTACGGTTATAACGTCTTCTTATGATGAATATTTCTTCAGTCCACTTTTCATGATAATCTCTTTGAAAAGTATATCTTAAATGAGATATTCTCACTTGGTCCCTGACTTTATACTTAAATCGCCTCTTGTGCTTTCTGCTCTGACCTCTTTTCAGTAAGGGATCAATATACTGCTCCTTCCATACAATGGCCTCATTTTGAGCAGTAATGTCAGAGGGCAATCTGTTGTTTAATGATCGATGTGGTTGATGATTGTAGTTTGACACTATATCTTGCAAAATATTCAAATAATGATATGTCTGCCTATAAGTGAAATATCTGTACATACTCGTCTTCAATGTACGTATGACTCCCTCAGCATAGTTGGCTTTGGTTTCATTCTGTGTAGTATAGTAAGTAATACCTTTACTTTCCAAGAATGATTTCACAGTTTTGTTATCAAACTCACGTCCCTTGTCTGATCTTATGATCCTAGGTGTTGCTGCTGTTGTAAGTATTTTCATCAAGGCTTTTAAAACAGATTCAGGTTTTTGTTTTTCAAGGGTTGTACCCATAAGTATCTTGTAAAACATTGATAACTATGAGAAAGATACTTGACTCCTTCATTGTATGAAGCCAGATTATGAATATCGGCTAAATCTATATCCCAACGTGCATTGAGTCCTGTAGCCACAAGTCGGTTCCGCTTGAATTTATAGCGTAGTGATCTCTGTAGTGCATAACTATCTTGTGCAGCTAACCATTTCTTGATGTGATGTAAACTGATATTAAACTTTCCTTCCTTCTTCACAATGTAATAGAGCTTGTTTGGACCGGTGAAAGAAGCTGCATGTTTTGAGTCAAAATATAGGTTTGATAAATATTCTTTCCATCCGTCTTCTGGCATGTTGAAAGCACAAATGCTGATTTTATCAAATTCATTTATATTTATACCTCATCAGGAAAGGAATGCAAACAGTTTAAGCATAATCAAGTGATGTCGTCAAATCAGATTAGTGTAATCTGGTCACATCGTGTGCAATTATTTGCAGATAGATGTATTCTTGCCACCCAGTCCTTTATTAAAATGTTATTCATATGGGCTAATTACCGCGATTATAAGATGTCAATCTCAACAAAGCCAGAATAAAGAAATATACAGTATTAATTACATTTAGCCAATCACCATTCAGGCTTCAATTAAAGAGATATTATTATGTACTAATGAATCTCATTAAATGATATTAAGCTAATTGGTCATGATGATGCCATTTTCATACCCCGATAAGAGCAAAGGTTAACAGTCAACGTCACAGTGACATCATACCCTATATCCAATCAAAGCAAAATTATAGGTCAAAGGTCACAGTGACGTCATGGCTCCTGTATCCAATCAAAACAAAGATTATAGATGATAGGTTACAGTGACGTCATGGCTCCTATATCCAATCAAAGAAAGATTATAGCTGAAAGGTTACAGTGACGTCATCGCTCCTGTATCCAATCAAAAGAAATATTGAAGGTCAAAGGTCACAGTGACGTCATGGCTCCTTGGCTCCTGGCCCAGAACGCCTATTCTTCATTCATCAGGTGTCTACAGTCGGGGTTGGTGTCCATATAGTTGAGGTGGATGTCTACAATTGGGGCGGATGTCCACAGTCGGGGTTAGGTGTCCATATAGTTGAGGTGGATGTCTACAGTTGGGGCGGGTGTCCATATAGTTGAGGTGGATGTCTACAATTGGGGCGGATGTCTACAGTCAGGGGTGGTTGTCCATATAGTTGAGGTGGATGTCTACAATTGGGGCGGATGTCTACAGTCGGGGTGGGTGTCCATATAGTTGAGGTGGATGTCTACAATTGGGGCGGATGTTCACAGTCGGGGTGGGTGTCCATATAGTTGAGGTGGATGTCTACAATTTGGGCGGATGTCTACAGTTCTAAACAGACTGATTACCTTTGTAGGCTTCATAGTTACCTTTAGTGCAGCCGAAGACGACGGCGTGGTGCATGATGTTGACGTTGTCGATGAGGGGCTGGCTGGCAATGATGTGGTAGTCCGTGTCGTTGGGGATGGAGAAGATCTGACACATATAGGTAGTTTCTGCTGCAGGCACAGAAGTCTGGGGTAACTTCAGATCCAATCTTCTCACGTCTAGTCAGGAAAGCGTTGACAAAGTTAAACAGTGTGTACCGAAACGACCAAATTCCGAAATCCGTAACCGGATGCACGGGTTGACCAGAGGGTACAGGGAGGGTGTGTGAGCAAGTTAATGCGGCTTTGGAAACACCAGGATTGTGTTTTTTTGTGAGTTAAATGCCGCGATATTCCAGCTATATCACGACACTCTGTAATGAGACAGTCCTAGATCAGACAATCCGGTGACTGACATTTTGACGAACAACTGCACTGTACCAAGGCTGAGTCTAACCACGTGTCATTTCCAGTCTCTTACGACAAGCAAGGGTCGCTTGGGACCTTTGTTCCTACCCGGAATACTCACAGGGTGTATACAAAGTAACCAGCTCCTCTTTGTAGAACGTGTGAGAGAGAGATGGATCTTCCTGAAAAGGGCATGTGGCTCGACTTTTCCTTTGACCCTCTTTACACCGACAACCTCTCGACGCTGCTCATATCAGCGAAATGAATGTTAATGACATTCAAAGACAAGGAAATGGCGCATACCGGACCGCATTTTCGAAAGGGAGGGTAGGGCTGTGCGTCACACGAAATATCTAAGTAATCTCCCTTCATGCAACGGGGACCCGTGAAGATCCGGGTAAGAATTGATCTTCAGTAACCCATGCTTGTCGTAAGAGGCGTGTCATCATATCCCAATTGCGTAGTTCGATGCTCAAGCAGTTGATCGTCTGGTCCAGACTCGTTTATTTACAGACCGCAGTCATATAGTTGGTATATTGCTGGGTGCGGTGTAAAACTAAACCTCACTCACTCATGCAAAGGTGTGGATACGTACTGACGTCATTGATACCGCTGCAGGTGAAGCCCGAATCCTGACAGGCCGGCAGTACCCAGCTCTCGTCTCTGGCCAGACACTTGGGGTCGTTCCATGGGTCACACACACCTAGGGATATTGGACAGAATGGCTGATGAGAGAATAACGGTAGTGGACAGAAGGGTATTTCGGATAGAAGGAAGTAGTGGATACAAGGGTATATCGGATAAAATGGAGTGGTATAGACGGAAGGGTTTTCGGATAGAAGGAAGTTTTGGATAGAAAGGTATATCGGATAGAAGGGAGTGATGGACAGAAGGGTATTTCGGATAGAAGGAAGTTTCGGATAGAAGGGGTATATCGGATTTAAGGGGTTGTGGATACAAGGGTAAATCGGATAGAACAGGTGCTGGACGGAGGGGTATTTCGGATAGAAATGATGGTGAATAGAAGGAAGTAGCGGATAGAAGATAGTGAAAGGAGGTGATAGTGGACAGAGGAAAGCAGTGTGCTCGTTTTATCAAAACAGTCCAGTCAATGTACAGCTTGTACAGTTTGCAATCAATCAACAATCCCTGTATTCCATCTAGTTGTCTGGTATCTAAACAATACTATGGTGAAGGACGAAAGACCAATTGGACGACAGATCACAGGTAAGGGTTTTGTATTGCCTATTAGATGTAAATCCCATTTATCATATATCTGGCAACGGAAGCCATGGAGCACGGAACATGTATATTAAATATAACAAATTCACGAATTATGTGTTGCGAACACGTTTTTGGAAAACTGACAACAGATATCATTTTGACATAAATGTACTGACCCACGAGTAAATCCCAATCTTTTGTCATTTGTTTGAGTTTTCACTCTCCTTTGAACTCACCGTTAAAAGCTAAGTTGTTGAATCCGACCTAGGGGTTAGTCGTTCCCTGGGACCAGGTACAGTTGGTGTATCTGACACTCACCTGGATGGGATAGCGGTGAACCCGTTGGTTAGTCGTTCCCTGGGACCAGGTACAGTTGGGGTTTCTGACACTCACCTGGGTTGGATAGCGGTGAACGCGTGGGGGTAGTCGTTCCCTGGGACCAGGTACAGTTGGGGCCTCTGACACTCACCTGGGTGGGATAGCGGTGAACGCGTGGGGCTAGTCGTTCCCTGGGACCAGGTACAGTTCGGGCCTCTGACACTCACCTTGGTGGGATAGCGGTGAACGCGTGGGGCTAGTCGTTCCCAGGCACCAGGTACAGTTGGGGTATCTGACACTCACCTGGGTTGGATAGCGGTGAACGCGTGGGGCTAGTCGTTCCCTGGGACCAGGTACAGTTGGGGCCTCTGACACTCACCTGGGTGGGATAGCGGTGAACGCGTGGGGCTAGTCGTTCCCTTGGACCAGGTACAGTTGGGGCCTATGACACTCACCTGGGTAGGATAGCGGTGATCCCGTGGGTTAGTCGTTCCCACGGATCAGGTACAGTTGGGGTCTCTGACACTCACCTGGGTGGGATAGCGGTGAACCCGTGGCGTTAGTCGTTCCCTGGGACCAGGTACAGTTGGGGTCACCCAGTTCTTGACCATTGGTCAATCCGTCACCATCGGAATCCTTCTCACACAACGCTCTGGTCCATTCCTGAGTGAAAAAACAACATTATTAAGCTGTTTGTAATTGTTTGGTTATAGGAGTCGAATGTAACATTAATTATTGGAAATAATAGGACAACATATATATACTTCCTTTCAAAAGTTTGAACTCACTTAAAACACTTACTATATATATATATATGGTTACATTGAAGATTTCTCCACTAACTTGAAGGAACCAACTGCAAACCTTATGCAGATGAATTGCACGAGGATCATGTATCAAATTGCTGAAAAGCATGTGCAAATATGGTCCATGTGAAGAGCTGAGTTTTGGTCAGTTTTCACTGACTTTTATCATTTATTGAACTCATGTCAATAATCTTTTCAACGTTACGAATTTGTTTTGCAAGACATCAGTTCATGTGTAAACAGTACCTTTAAACAGTATGGAATATTTTGCAGAATTTAGTTTAGAACAGTTGGCAGAAGTAAGTGGCTACATTTACACTAGTAAAGTCTAATCAAATTATTTCGAATTTGTTAACAGAATTCAGCGAGAAACTAGATATTACTTTCCTGGCATTTATGTCTTTTTCTACGCTGTATTGACAGAAATACAATATGTCTCCATTGCATGTTGGCTCAGGAATATTTTGCCTTTGATTTAAACGTTTGTTTTCTTATGTACCAAGCAGATTTCACATAGTTGCACCAATTTCAAAACTATCATTCCGGACTTTTCTGACCACATGTTGTTTTGGAAAAGGTTTCAAACACACCGAATACAAAATTAAAATCCTTCATATTTCCTGTGCACCGCCATTGCGGCTTTGCTGGGCGAATAATTCGATACATGTGCTTTGTATGTTTAATGTTACAGTACTTTGTATGTGAAATATGTAACAGTACTTTGTTGAATCTGAGCTTTGCACGTTCCATATGTAACAATACTCTGTGCGTTTAATCTGCGTTTTGTGCTGTGAACTGTGTCGTTTGTACAACAACAAAAAAGGACTGCAGATATCAAACATTAGATAACTCAGGATGGGTTCAGGCACGTAGAGCTTAAACTTCCGGTAAAATCCTGACGGTGGTGAGATCGCATCGAACTGATCATACCTGATTTTCCTATCGATACACCAAACATATTATTAGCCAACAACATATTCACAACAAAATCCTGCTGTTGTACGTAGATCTCACCTTGCCGTTGTCTCGCGAAGTCCTGTCCGAAGGTGTTCCTGGCCCCGCCCCCGACACCCGTTGGTGCCCTCCCACGCCGGAGCCCACGTCTCCCCAGCTTTGCAGGGGACTGGAGACAGTGTTTACCGTTGGGTATTTTATCTCGGTAGCCACCGTACCCCGAGGCCGTGTGCAGCAGTGTCACGAACAATAATGTCCATCTGCAAACAGGTCACATGATATATTCACAGTGAGTGAGTGAGTGAGTGAGATTGTGAATGAGTGAGTGAGTGAGAGTTTAGTTTTACGCCGCTGTTGGCAATATTCCAGCAACATCACGGCGGGGACAATCTTTCAGAAATGGACTTCAGACATTGTGCTCATGTGGGGAATCGAACACGGGTCTTCAGCGTGACGAGGCGAACGTTTTAACCACTAGAGGCTATCCCAGTGCCCCTGTACATCACCGGATCCCCGCCAGTGATACATAGGAATTCATTCTTTCATTGGGCGATTATTTTAATGTGCGGACAATAGGTGTTGCTATAAAGCAGCCGTACGGAATACACACTTGTAGATGTTTTTTTTTCCATGGTGGGGATCACCTGGTAGGGAATAATTTAAGAGGACATGTCGATAGGAATCACACATCCATGATAGAGAAATGACCTCGACATGCAGAGATCTGTGGTGGAGTGGGGTAGATCCGGTGTAGAGAAGTAGTCCTCAATGGCAAGAGATAGGGGGACGGGGGTGGTGGGCGAGCTTGGCTAAGGCGCTAGGCTAGTGATCCAGCGAGGTTGAGGTGTCGGGATTGAGCCCACCTGTGACAGGGTGTAAAAACCTTGGAGACAGCTTTGGGTGCAGACTCTTTCAGTGTTGTCACAACCTCTAGTGAACAGTACACAACCCCTGTGCGCTTGAAAGAACCCACGAATCTGTTGGTATATGACCAGATGGTGGCCACATGACTACATGCAAACACCTAGTTGCGGGTACAGCAACGTGCAATGAACTTGGACAAAGTACTGTGACTATGTGCCCCAGTCCACCCAGCTGTGAATGGGTAATTCGTTATGATGAGAGAAAGCCACAATAACTCGGTGCGCCTAGTGGCTCCAAGAGCTGTATACTCTCCAGGGAGTTGAGATTGATAATACGATGTGACGTTGAGATTGACATCCAATGATCGAGGGAACAAATACCAGCGCCTTGAGCATGCACTAGTTGCCTGGATATGTGCGTTATATGAATATCCTATAAGAATAACAATAATAGTACAGAGATACGTGACATACATGTAAGGGTTAGATCCAGTGTAGAGAGAAGTCCTCAATAGCAAGAGATCCATGGCATAAGGGTAAGATCTGGTGTAGAGAGAAGTCATCTATAGCAATAAATCCGTGATATAAGGGTAAGATCCGGTGTAGAGAGAGGTCATCTATAGCAATAAATCCGTGATATAAGGGTAAGATCTGGTGTAGAGAGAAGTCATCTATAGCAAGAGATCCATGACATAAGGGTAAGATCTGGTGTAGAGAAAGGTCATCTATAGCAATAAATCCGTGATATAAGGGTAAGATCCGGTGTAGAGAGAGGTCATCTATAGCAATAAATCCCATGATATAAGGGTAAGATCCGGTGTAGAGAGAAGTCATCTATAGCAAGAGATCCGTGACCTAAGGGTAAGATCCAAAACTGGTGTAGAGAGAAGTCATCTATAGCAATAAATCCGTGATATAAGGGTAAGATCCGGTGTAGAGAGAAGTCATCTATAGCAAGAGATCCGTGACATAAGGGTAAAGATTCGGTGTAGAGAGAAGTCCTCAATAGCAAGAGATCCGTGACATAAGGGTAAGATCCGGTGTAGAGAGTCATCAGTAGCAAAGAGTCCCTTGATATAAGAGATCTGGTGTAGAGAAGTCATCAGTAGCAAGAGATCCGTTATGTATAAGGGTAGATCCGGTGTAGAGAAAGTCCTTATTAGGGAAGAGATCCGTGATATAAGGGTTAAGATTCGGTGTAGAGAGAGTCCTCTATAGCAATAGAATCCGTGATATAAGGGTAAGATCCGGTGTAGAGAGAGGTCCTCAATAGCAATAAATCCATGATATAAGGGTAAAGATCCGGTGTAGAGAAGTCATCTATAGTAAGAGATCCGTGACATAAGGGTAAGATCTGGGTGTAGAGAGTCCTCAATCATCTATAGCAATAAATCCGTGATATTGATATAAGGGTAAGATCCGATGTAGAGCATGAAGTCATCTATAGCAAGAGATCCGTGACATGAAGGGTAAGATCTGGTGTAGAGAAAAGTCCTCAATAGCAAAAGATCCGTGACATAAGGGTAAGATCTGGTGTAGAGAGAAGTCCTCAATAGCAAGAGATCCGTGACATAAGGGTAAGATCCGGTGTAGATGAGGTCATCTATAGCAATAAATCCGTGATATAAGGGTAAGATCTGGTGTAGAGAGAAGTCCTCAATAGCAAAGAGATCCGTGGCATAAGGGAAAGGTCCGGGTGTAGAGAGAAGTCCTCAATAGCAACAGATCCTTGATATAAGGGTAAGATCCGGTGTAGAGAGAAGTCCCCACAATAGCAAGAGATCCATGACATAAGGGTAAGATCCGGTGTGAGAGGAGTCCTCAATAGCAAGAGATCCCTTGACATGGGATATGATCCGGTGTAGAGAGAAGTCCTCAATAGGAAGAGATCTTGACATAAGGGTAAGATCCGGTGTAGAGAGAAGTCCTCAATAGCAAGAGATCCTTGACATAAGGATAAGATCCGGTGTGTAGAGAAAGTCCTCAATAGGAAGAGATCTTTGACATAAGGATAAGATCCGGTGTAGAGAAGTCCTTAATAGCATGAGAGCCATGGCATAAGGTAAGATGCGGGTGTAGAGAGAAGTCCTCAATAGGAAGAGATCCATGACACAAGGGTAAGATCCCAGGTGTAGAGAAAGTCATCAATAGCAAGAGATCCGTGATGTAAGAGTTTGATCCGGTGTAGAGAGTCCTCCCAATAGCAAAAGGAAATCCGTGAGATAGAGGTTAAGATCAGTTAGATACAGGTGATAGATCATTGGTAGAGAGAACTGTTTAATGGAGACAGCGATCCGTGAGTCAATACATCATTTTGATAGGTAAAGATCCATGATAGATAAGAACTTGTCGACAGAGAGAGAGAGACCATTGAAAGATTCGTTGGATGCGATAGAAATAGAGATGCGTGATAAAAGGAGAGACAGAGACAAGTAAAATTACTTATTAGCAGAGATATAATCCTTCCTTTCCCCCATATATGAATCGATCCTTGGTGAGGGACTGATCCTTGATACAGACATCAATTCTCAAGGAGAGATCCGTGATAGGAACTCATTAAGGTGGAGGTGAGTGAAATTGGGTTTTACGTCGTGCTGGATATCTATTTTGCTTCATATGACGACGCATGCGTGCATATTGTACGTGCGGCTGCTTGTACTCAGCCCAGACTGAAGCTGGTTTTATAGTACAGCCCACTGAGATACCATTATGCCGCAGTGAAGCATGAATACCCCCACTCAGACACATTATACTGACTCCGAGCCGACTGAGTCCTGTTGTACCCCACCGAGGCGGTCAACTCATTAAGGAATAGACAGAACTCATCCGCAAGAGATAGAACACACTTTGATGGGTTAGGTCCCAACCACAAAACATTGTAGGCAGCGTGGGAAAAGATTTTTTTGCCCTGTAGAATAATGGAACAGCCCCAGTATCAATGAAGAAGGGGTGCTTCGTTTGAAGTAAGGGATAATTAGGGGATTATATTAGTATATATCTGTGCATCTACTTCTGTGTATAGTATGTTTTGAGTCTTCATCCAATAAAGACTACAAGACAAGCATACTAG